CTGAACTTCATGGTGAGGGCAAATTAATGCCTCCCCCACCCCCACCAACTCCATCACCCTTCCCCTTCCATCAACCAGTCACAACATGGACTTAACTGACTTTAACAAAAGGTCTATCCTGCAGTTGTGACACAATGCTGGCTTTGACTTCTGATCCTCAGTGGATGAAGTCCCAACCTCGAGAGCTGCTGGCCGATCCGATTGGCAGTTCAAGCAGCACCAGAGCTTGGTAGTGGGTACACTTGAGTCCGCAAGAAATCTCAAAAATAGAGCAATGGATCCTGGATTCGGGTAACCCCATGATTTGGACATCCTGGGGAGGGTTGATGTGTGGATTTTGGAAACTGGGCTAGGATCCACAAAATCACCTTGAGAGTGTGTCTTGATGCACATAAGACAATTTCCAGATTTTCACCCCTACTCTTTTGGTTCCTCAGTCAAAGAGCAGAATACTTACTCTTACCTGTCAATAGTATGGCATGGACAGTGTAATATTCAGGCCTGTAGTATGTAAGCAAGCTCAAATGCAGGATGATTTTACTTTTAATTTAGCAGATGGAGTGCAGGTGTTGGTACCTGTCATCTCGTATATTACGGGAAATGCTAGATTATATGCACAATCCCAATTTGCAAACTTAAAGTCCGAATCTGGGATTCACTTCTTGGAAAATCATAAGTCTTGAAATTTGGCTGTCTACTCTATTTGTTACTAAGCCTCCTGTGTGGCAGGCAGACATTCGTTTTGAGCTGGAAGTATGCCACCTGCCATATGGATGAAGAAAATGTGCTATGTCATGTCAATGTAAAGAGGTCATTAGCACATGCATATAAAGGATTTGAAGGCTGTTTATGATCCCCACTACAACGTTAATTATCCTGGGGCAGCTGGTATCAAAGGAGACAAAGCCAACTTACATGTTGACCAGGAAGCAATTCCATGATTCTGCAAGGCCTATCCAGTGCCATTTGCCTTATGGGCAAAAGTAGAGGCAGAAATCAGAAGGCTGGAAAGCAAAGGAGTCATCAAACCAGTCCAGTTTGCGGAATAAGCAGCACCAATCACGCTGATTGTGAAGCCTGATGGGTCAGTTCACTTTTGTGGGGATTTTAAACAAACAATAAACTGCTTTTCACAGCTGGATAAATTCCCAATCCCTCGCATAGAGGATTTATACACAAAGCTGGCAGGGTGCTATGCTTCACAAAGCTGGACATGAGCCATGTGTACTTGCCATTGCAGTTAGATGAGGATTCCCAGAAATATGCTACAATTAGTACCATTAAGGGTTTGTACCATTGTACAAGACTGCCATTTCAGGTATCGTCAGCCTATGCAATTTTTCAGCAGACAATGGATAACATTTTACAAGGTCTATCCCAGGTTGCCATTTATCCAGATGATGTACTAATAACAGGGAAGACCAATAAACAGCACTTAGAAATCTGGACTTAGACATGTCCCCAAGACAGGCGTACACCTTAGAAGGGAAAAGTGTGTGTTCCAGGCACCCCAAATGATCTATTTCGGTGACAGTGTCGACAAGACTGAGTTACACCCATTGGAAGTTAAAACGAGAGCGATCAAAGTTGTTCTGGCTTGCACATCTGTACCAGAGCTTAGGTCTTTCCTTGGGTTAGTGAATTATTATGGTAAGTTTATACATACCCTGGCCTCCATCTTGACATCTTTGCATCAACTCTTAAAAAAAGGTCAGCCTTGTAAATGGTTGCATAGCCAAGCCAGAGCTTTCAGGGAAGTGAAGAAACAGCTATCATCCTCTCAGGTGTTGGCACATGATGATCCCAAGCGAGATCTAGAATTGAAATGCAATGCATCCCTGTACAACATCGGGTTAGAATTGGCTCATTGGTGACAGAATGCCCAGTAGTATATGCATTTGAGACAATGATTAATGCAGAGCATAAATATGCCCAGATAGAGAAGGAGGGTTTAGCAGTCATATTGGAGTCAGGACTTTCCACCAATACCTTTACGGATGTGAATTTGTAATAATAACGGACCACAAACCCCTGCTAGGTCTACTTAAAGAGGACAAGGCAGTACTGCCAATAGTTTCCAGCCAAAGTTAGCAATGGGCTCTAATACTAAATGCATGTACTTGCAAGTTGGAACACTATCTGGGTGGTCAAGTAGCAAATGCAGATGCATTGAACCATTTCCCACAGCCATATGTCTCCCTGCAAAAGGTCTCCTCTCATAGCCGTCCCCAATACAGTGGTCACCTGGCTAGAAAGGCCATTTTTTATTAAACTTTGAACGTTTGGAGCAAGGGTCCTTTCATTTCAAAGTGGCTTTCCCTCATTTGCTTCCCATTGAACCCTGATGCTGTTTTTAAGCTGGAAAGATCTTGAATGATCCTCCACCTTATATAACGTGCCCATCCTTAATTGCGCAGTAATCCTGCGCTGTAGCCATCAATTGAACACTCCAAGGGAAATCACAATGAATGACTGCTTCTGATTCATGCATGCTTCTAATTGACATTGAAGTCTAAAAGCATGCTTCAGAAGCCCACAGGAAAATCTAGCCCATTGTCACATCATTTGCTTGGAAACATAGAACAACTGTTACTGCAATATTTCCTTAATAATGCAAAATCATCCATTGTGAAGTAATTGGAATTTTAATATATTCTTGAATCGTTGATCTTCAGGCATTTGACTGACAATACACAAATTTATTGTATAGTTAAAGACACTCATAATGAAGCAATGGACAATAGAGAGAGCATTAGATAACTATTTGATTGGAAGCAATGTGCCAGGTTACAGATAAAGGGCATGAGATGAACACAAAGCCGAAGTGCTCAGAAAGCTAGTATTGACACCATGGCTAAACTGCCTCCTTCTGCATCATAGTAATTCTGTGATTCTATGAACATTTTTCAGTCATTGCAAACGAGTTTATTGCCATATTATATTTCTCCTTCATTTATATACTGAAGCATATACTGAGATTCTTGAACTATGACCCTGTCGAATATAAAAAAAGTCAATGATTCACACTGTGCATAATTTTAAGGAAACTAATAAACACCTCAGTAGTGCCTTGACATTCATCTGTACCCAGTGTTGTTTTACAGAAATAGCATACCAATCCTTTTAACCTAATTTGCAGTTGTCACCAAAGGTGAAACTGCTATGTTACTGGATGATGTTTAATGCAGAACAATTATAATGAGATCTCATTTTAATTTTAATTAAGAATACAGGTATCCATAAATCACATAAATTGACCATAACTAAAGCAAATGACATCATTATCCTGTGGTGAAAATCAAACAAAATGATGATAAATTGGAATAATGCCCATTATAGATATCTGCATTTTCAAATCTTATATCCTGATATTGGACCTAACCACAAATTGATCCAAGGTCTATTGAGACCTACTCAATTGGGTAATTAGATAAAACCGTATTGGAGTCTTTTTGGAGTTTTTCATATTTTTAATAAATCTATCATTACGAGCACATGTATTAACCTTCTATAGACAAAGGTAGAAGACAAGCATAGGTAATGGTTACTCAAATGGATTGCTACACATTAAACACAAGAAGGCAACACCATACTGAATCTATGTTAGATTGCTGAATCTAGTTAGGGCAGAAATAATGATACCATAATTGGTCTCAAAGCTCTCAAATTAGGAACAAAGCAATAGGCACGGGATACAAAATGAGCAGTAATGAGATACTTTAAGTAATGAAATCAAAAATTCTCCAAAATTAGTAGTAGTTTTGTACTTGATTTTCACATCAAAATGTATGAATGGAGGGAGAATGTTTATATTGTTTAATTTAGGCGTATTGAGGTCATTACAATTTTTACAAGGGTCAAGAGAAATTCATGACAAAACTGATTGAATTTGCCCAAACTACCACAGAAGCAGTGCATCAGAATGTAAACAGTGAGTTAAATTGAGTGGAACCTTCTATTTGAGCATTTCAAATCAACTACTATTGAAAAACTTGTGACAAATTTGTGTTCTCCTGTGAGCACTATGTGGGCAGACATACTTCTCACTGCACTGAAGCATGAAATACTCTTCTACACAGCACAAACAGCAAAGTCAAATGGGTTGTTTTCCAGATGTGCGATTCATCTTGCTTGATTTTCTCTATTTCAGCGAAACAATTTTTAAAAATCCAATTGCAATCAGAGAACATTTGGCCAAATGTTGGTGCCTTTTATAGGCAGACGAAACAGAGAGGCGGGCTAATAGTGTTTTCTACTTTAATCCGAAAGAGTGTAATCGATTTATGGCCATTTACCGATCCCTTTTATTGTAACTATGTGATTAATATATATGATGTGGAGTTGCCAATGTTGGACTGGGGTGGACAAATTCAGAAATCAGATAACACCAGGTTATAGTTCAGCAGATTTGTTTGAAATCATAAGTTTCCGAAGCGTTGCCCCTTCGAAGGGGCAATACTCTGAAAGCTTGTGATTTCAAATAAATCTGTTGGATTATAACCTGGCATCGATTAATATATATGTTATCCAGGCAGTCTACAGGCTGTTCATCTAAGCTAGATTACTGCCCTCCATAATAGTCACATGAATAATTGTCCAAGCTTTACATTAGTCTTATACTGCAATCACTCTGTCATTGAAGGTTTAGACAACTACAAACTCAATTTGTTTCCACATGATCGAAGAGGCCATCTGTTATGTGTAATGTCTATACAATCGCCATGGACTTTATGACCTTTACTTGGTAGCTCCCCTTCAACACAAAAAGAATCTTCTTCTATTGCTTCAACATTTATCAGGAAAAACCATTGCCCGTCAACTCAACTGCTGAATGTAGGGTAAAGAAACAGTAAAATATTCAGATCAGTAAACAAAATATTAGACATGTCATGGCTAACCCATTTGAGACTTGTTTCTTTGATAGAATGAAGCTGATTTTTGCTTCTGCTAAGAGTAAACAGTTTTCATAAAGTTTTTTCTAATATTAATCACTTTTGCAGACGTTGGTGGGTTTTTTGAGGCTGGGACATGGATACGCTACAACTTCCAGTCTCCTATGGACATTCCTAAGGACTTCAAGAGAGCACCACAGGCAGTAAACCCCAACCTTACCTTGACCAAAGAAGATCTGGTTTTCAGTTTCAGCACAACAAACACGCCCAGCATTCTCCTGTATATTAGCACCTACTCCCCGGATTACATGGCCGTGATTCTGAAACACAATGGTGAGATGATGACATCCTATTTTATATCTCTGCTTATAATTTTAAATGTGTGCTTCATGTGTAATTTGAGATTTGTGTAATATTTTCAATATCTTGGTATTTGTTAATTCTATTTTAAACATGAATAACTATGGCTAACAGTGTGTGAGATCTGAATCTCGTTTAAAATAAGCATGTAGCCCTCGATAAACAGTTTCTTGGTTTAAAGCCTCCAAATTAAGTCACTGAGAAATTCAAACAAATAGCTGTATTTTCCAATGTAGAGTGCACTCTGTTCCAATGCATGGTTCAGTTCATATGCCTAAACGCAGCGAGCTTTAACATAGGTGTCAAAAAGCTGAGCTTGGGTATCCTCAAATGTGCACACAAGTAATGATGAAGAATGACCAATGAAAACAGTAGAGTATATCAGTCTTTGTTACTGGTAATCTTCCTGTCACTTATTCAGACAGAATTACCCTACATACAGGATGTGGCAATCTCTAGCCATAGACCCTTTCCTCTCTGTACCTCAGCGTTGAGCAATGAATATTTGAACATATTTTCTCATGCTCAGCTTCCAAGTTATTGTATTCCAGGGCAATTGGAAACAGAGGAAGGAATCTTCATTGGCAGCAGGGTCTTTCTTTTTGGCTAGAGAGCCAACAAAAGGCCCGGACTGCATCTTCCACAGAAGGCCTGATGGATCTTCTGCCAATCAGACCATGAAAGGTGACTCATAGAATCATAGGAGGGTTAGAGCACAGAAGAGACCATTCAGCTTGTCATGATGTACCTGCTCTCTACCAACACAGCGTACAATTTTCATTTCCTGCCTTTTCCTCATAGTCCTCCATTTTTTAATCTCTCTTCAGATAAGTATACTTTTTCTTTGAAAAGATTTGATTCGCTCCTTGTCCACCATATTCTCAAGCAGTGCATTTGAAATTCTAACCAAATACTGTGTAAACAAGATTTTTCCCGCATAGCTGTTGTTTCGTTTGCCTGTCTCCTTAAGCTGACATTCTCTGGTTCTTGACCTTTTTCACAATGAGTTTCACCATAAGGTACCTTATGATTTTCAGACAAGGCCAATCTCCAGGTCAGGATCAAGTTGCTGTATTTTTATGTATCTGCCAGGTGTCGAAGCAAATACCTCACTGGGTAACAGTGAGCCTGTTAAAGGGGAGTATTGCTTGTTGGACACCTTATTAACTGCAAATCTCACCTCATTAATGTGCATCTTTCTAGCTTACCATGCCGGGTCTGGCAAAGGGGCTGTTGTTATATCCAACAGAAGGGTGTTGAGTACTGGGTGAATGAGTGCAGTACCAGGGGTGGGATTTGTCGGGTGCTGGCAGCACAGTGTAGATGCGTTCTGAAGGGAGAGAGTTTGTATCATGTCCCAGACAGACAGGTTTCTGTGGGGTCCCAGACAGAGGTAGGGGTTATCAGGCCCCAGGCAGACAGGGGTACATTAGGTCCAACAGCAGGAGAGTTGGTGGGTCCCAAGTGGAGGGATGCTGCTGGTTGTCAGGTTCAGTGGCCCAAAAGAGGTTGTGGGTTGTTTCTGGAGGAGAGGTGGGTGTCGAGTCCACTGGCTAGGGGTAGGATTGAGAAGTTTTGGGTGCGATGGTGGGGAGAGAGTTATCAGGTCAATATCTCCGGGTATTCGGAGTATACTTGGGAGAGGTTTTTGGTAAGCTGAGAGTCCGTTTAATATTTAATCAGGAGTTACAATAGTTGTCTAATGTTTCTGAGTAACCATTTAGTTAACTACAACAGAACCTTCCAAATTGTCTGATTTAAATGGACATATTTGATTGATTCCAGCTGCAGGAGAATTACTCTTTGTAATCTTCAATTTCCCAGGCAATTCCCTCAGTATCTACCATGACCTGGGTTCTGCAGGGTCCAGATGTGCAACTCCCAGCTATGCTGCAGAAATGACTATAGGCCATTGGAAATTTCAGAACACTATTTCTGGAAGCTTCCCTACCACCAAAGTAAAACTGACTGGTCTTTGTAGAATCACAAAATCTCTACAGTGCGGATGAAGGGCATTTGGCCCATCAAGTCTGCATCGATCATCTGAAGAGCATCCCTCCCTCACCCTATCCCCGTAACCCCACATTTATCATGGCTAATCTACCTAACCTACAGAACCCTGCACACGACAGGATAATCTAGCATGGCCAATCCATCTCACCTGCACATCTTTGGATGGTGGGAGGAAACTGGAGCACCTGGCAAAAGCCCATGCAGACACATGGGAGAAATGTGCAAACTCCACACAGGCAGTCAGCCAAGGCTGGAATTGAACCCAGGTCCCTGGTGCTGTGAGTTAGCCTGCATGCCGCCGACTTACTATGCTGATTCTTATGACTAATTTTTTGGAGCAATGGCATAATGTTTGAAATCCTGCAATTCTCTGACACCATCCCAAGTCCAGGGAAAACTGAAAGATTATGCCAATACCTCTATAATTTCCACTCTCACTTCCTTCAGTATCCTTGGATACATCTTATCTGACCCAGATGCCTTGTCAAATCTAAGTACCAACAGCTTATCCAATATCTTCCTATCAATTTTGAACGCTGTTGTGACTGAGTTTCTTCCTCTGTCACCATGGCCTGGGGAGCATCTGCTTCCTTGGTAAAGATGGGTGCAAAATATTAATTTGACACTTGAGCCATGCCTCTGCCTGTGTTTTCTAGCAATCAGCCAACCTTGTATCTGCACCATCACTTTCCATTTATTGCATGGGCTTCAATTTTGCTGACAAAGTTGTTATATGACACTTTATCAAACACCTTTGGAAGTTCATGTCCACCATATCATCTGCATTACCTTTATCAACCCTCTTTGTTACTTCATTAAAATCTTAAAATGGTTTAACTTGAAACTATGAATATCAGAAGCCTGCAGTTCAGATATGATCTATTAAGTTGTTTTCCATAATGACGCAGGGAAGATTTCACCTTGTGCCCATCATGGGTGGTAGAATTGATGTGGATGAAGTAATTCCACAGAGGCCAGTATCTCGTCACCAAATCATCCTTTATTTACACATGAACAGTCCTTGATTATAGTACTGCCTCATACAGAGTCAGGCCCCAGAGTGTCAATATCCCTGACATTCAACCTTTTTATGTCAACCAGGCTCCCTGACTGGACCAGAATAACAACCCAATCAGAAAACTCATATTCTAAGACAGCTAGCTGACTGACCTTGTTACAACCACTGCAGTGGACACATCTTCAGTCACTTGCATCAAGTATAAATGACTAAACCTAGTTCCATTGAAGTAGGCACTAGTTAGCTAATTATACATGTCAATTCCTTTCAGCAAAACATTTTGTGATCGCAGTTGGAAATTTTTACAGAAGTACTGTTATTGTACCTACTAATTTTTTAATTAATTGCTTTGACTAAAGTCCAAACTGTGCACAAAACCAACTCACTCTGCAGCCAGACTTAAAAACTGTTTTGTAAGAAATTGCCATGGGTACAGAACTACTTACAATTTCATTATTAATTTCAGACACACAGAAAAACCCACAAGTTGCTCACTGAAAAGAGAAATCCAAGTTTACTGCAGCTAACATTAAAAATCATGGATACATATTCCACAGTTTACATCACACTGTATAGAACATTAATTGTAAAATATGCACATTGTTTTAACAGGTAACATGATACACAAGTGACACAAACAGAATGATATCTCGGCTACATTCCTTCAAATTGAATTGCTCATGAGTTCAAATATTCTCAGCTTTCTGCCTGTAAGAATCTCCATGTTACTGCCAAAGAAACATAAAATATTTAATTTGTCTTCCTGACAACATGAGTGAGTCAAACCTAACTGCATCCGCAATTAGTTGCAAGGATATTCTTTGAAATCCACTTTCAGCCATTTTCTAATTAATTTCTAGTGAGATGCTTTTGGGCAGGATTAGTTAAGAAAACAAAGCCACATAAGATTAATAAATATTTGCACAGAACAGATTAATTATGGAAAATAAAACATATAAGGACAAAGACCTAGAACAGGAAATGAGAGGAGAGAAAATTGAAACCAGAGAGAACAGTATTAATAATATCATGTGTAAATTAAGAAGGCTAACTTGTCACTTTTAGAAATATAATTGTTATTACTGTTGTACTGTTTGTATCTGTGTTTCATAGTATAGGGGTGAGTTGCTAACAAAGGTAAATTACATAGTGCATGGATGTGATTTACTGTAATCTTTAAACAACATCTTTCTATATAATGACAACTGTGGCTACATTGTATCACAATGAACTTGATCAGTACCTTGATGTTTGCTGAAGATTTAATTTGGCACTATTTATACAATACACAAATCCTTTCATATTACCAGGTCTGAGCGCAAAACGTCGGCTCTTGCTATTCTGCCTCAGAGAAATGAGGTAGAAAACTGTGCTAACATCAAGCCTGAAGTAAAATACAAAACAAATTCGAGATCTAAATGTATTTGAGATCTTCTGGTCAACACAACATAAAATCCTTCCATCTTATTGACTAACCAAATATTGTCAAAAGAGCCATTCCTAGCAATTTCTTCTCTTCATATATTTCATTCACCACCCACACATATATATGCATTCAAGGTCAGTTTTCTGACCCTTATTCTTTCCTTTAGTCAGCCATGAGGTACTTCAGATTACTGAAAAATGAGTATTTATATGCAAACTAATTATAGAATCATTTTAAAAAGGCAAATTTATTAATCAGTGTGCCCTGAAACTCTACATAAATAGAATAATAATAGTTTGTTTGAATTCAACTTGTTCTTCACATTTAAAAAATTCTAATTTTGCTCTTTGTGGACTACACATTTTTTGATCTTGATATTGCGGTTAAGGACTTTCTTAAGAATCATTAAGAAATGGTTCGCGACTGGGAGGTGCAGGTGCAGTTGGGGAGGCTTGGGGACCGCTTTGCGGAACACCTACACTTGGTTCGCACTAAACAACTGCACCTCCCAGTCGC